AATCACCTGCTTCCGTTCCGTCAGTTCAGGCAGGGAGTTCACAGCATTCATCAAATGCTTTGTGTTCCCGACCAAATCTGTCCCGTCAAATTCAGCCCCATCAGTTCCTCCAGTCCTTCTATTCACTTCATCAACATCCTTCTTATACTTGTTCAACTGAGTCTCAATTTCCACTGCAACTTCAGGAAACTCTAGAGACCCATTTGCCACCCAAAATGGATCAGAACTGTCCAACTCATATGACCTCATCCCACCCTTTTCCCCTTGCACGCTCAACCTATTAAGCCTCAAGCCAAGAACATCGTGAACAAGAGGACGATACCTAAAATCATGCTGTATTCCCACTGACAATTCAAAATTCCGATCAAATAGACACAAAACTGGCCTCTGAAAAGAACTCGCAAAACCCCCACCTTCTGTAAACAAATTGTTCTTCGACAATAAATGATCCCTCAACTTCTGATCCAACACCGATGCCACCATCTCTGCAGGGCCACCACGCGGACACCTAATAACTGGCACAACCGCAAGTGTTGCCAACACACAAAATAACCCACTAGCAACCTTCTCAACAATCTCCTCAATCTCTCTATCACCAGCAGACGGATCATTCAACTGAACATAGCAAGACTTCTGTGCCAACGAAAACAAATTATTCTCCAAAGTCACAAACTCCAAATACTGATCATGCACCTTTGAAATCTTTTCTATAGACTCTGAATTCAATGTCCCAGATGCAAGATCCTCAAGAAGTGGACGAGGAATGGACGACGAAAAATTCAGGTGGAAGCTATCATAAAGCGATTGCGACGCATCAGCAACAATCCTCTGAACATTAACTTGACTTGGCTGAACAAAGTACACAGCAGGGACATCATGGACAGGCTTTCGATCCTTATCAATAAGGAAATAAAGAGTAACCCCATGTTTTCTCAGATCCTTGACATGAATCAATGGAGATAGTATATTTTGACAAAACTTATCATAGATCAAGATCTTGTAAACCTCTTCATTAGTAGTACCAGTTGCATTCAAAGGTTGGTTCAGATTTAGCATCCGGATTATACATTCTGTACCCAAAAAAAAAACAAATTTCAAAACTCTTCTCAATAAACACATCAAATTTAACAAAAGGAAAGAGTTTTAACGGTTATTTGGGCTTAAATCTAAGTAATAACAAATGGGTTGTTGCTTAATTCTAAAAGAGATCTAGACAGAGAAAGAAAAGGAGAGAAAAGGCACTGACCTGTTTGTTTTTGACGCCGATTGAGAGCCATAACAGTAGGGGGAAAAGGTTCTTAATTCGTGAAATTTCGGAGAGCAGATTTGTTACTCTGTACTCTCTTCAATTTATCTCTTCATTGCCAGCTTCTCTCTGTCAAGAATGGAGAGAACAGGGGTTTGATTATATATAGTTGGTTCCGCGAGTTCGGGTTCATTATAGTGATGTTTTGATTATCCAATAGAGTTGTACCACGTCATATGTTTGGAACTCATTTTATTGATGTCGTTGTTGACTCTTACTTGTCTTGACCAATGAGTGACTGCCACGTCAGTCATACGGAGCCATAAATGCGTGGTTATCTTGCTGGTTTTTAGAAACAGGCAAATGAAGTGGGGTTTTGAGAGGGAAGTAGAGGAGAATTTGGCTTATGGTAAAAGCATTCCTAATGAAAAGGGTCTCATTGTTTCCTTTATTGTATTACTACATATCTTTTTAAGATTTTTTGCTTGTTCATTAGCCAGTTGGTGATTTTTTATCAGGAAAATGGGATCAAGGAAGACTATCAATTAGCTGATGAAGGTGTTATTCAGGCACAATTGGCTGGAGAATTGTTCCTTAAGGTATGTGTTTCAGTGTAAAGATTGCATTTCTCAAAAAGCTTCAATTTTTCATGTTTATCCTTTTAATCTGCATTCAATTTTCCCTCGCATCGTGTTTTCACAGGCTAGATGTTTATTAGGGTTTAGACTACTTTTGCGGGTGTCGCTGATTATCATAATTCACAAAATAAAGGGCAGTTCTGATTATAGTTTGAAAAAAAAATGTGACGCCTTTTTCAGACTAGTCTTTGAATTCCTGGACTTGGAGGGGTTTAGGATGTTATTATCTGTGACTCGAGGTTTTTCATTTCATAAGCAGCAGAACTTGGAAGGCTCATAATTTATATTTGTTTTATTGAAGTCAAGGTTTCTGATAATTTGAATAATCGAAACTGTTGAAGATGACAACCTTGGGGGGAGAAGGAAGGTTTGAATTAATTGAGCTTTTTTAAAAAAAAAAAAAAAACACGGGTTAATGTCAGTTGATGGTTCCTGTTAAAGTGCAAAAGTAAGGTTAGAGCCTTGCCGAGTGCTCACATTACCAGCAAAATTATGCACTTAAACTTTCTTTCTGTCCATGTTTGAGCACTATCCAAAACTTCTGCAAGCATTATTATGTCTATATACCATAAGATAAGACTGGTCGTTCTTTTAGACATGGATAGCTAACTAATTTAAGCAAAGTGTCTGCTCAAATCTATGGCCATCCTTCATGATTTCGTTAGAGAAAACACCAAAAAATGAGCCAGAAGAGTCTGAATAGTCTATCCTTTGCAAAATCCATCCTTTTCTACAGCCCCACTTACAAATAATAAGTTGTGCTTCTTGGCAACCAGTTGGAGTGAAAGCACATAAGGACAAAAAATAAGAAGTTTTGTGTGACTTGGAATTGACTAGAGAGCATGTGAAGTGATGAGAACATTGTTGTTTCCTATTGGAGTTTTGTTGGGAATATTATTTGCAAGGAAGAATTGTGCAGGCGTTAGCATTATGCATGTTAGGTAGAAATATTACTCAAGAATTATGCAAGAATGGAATGCATGAGAATATGGATGGTAATTTGATTTATGGCCTTGCTTTGTTGGAAGCATTTGTGGACGATATAGAGAACAAAAGCCAAAGATTTCTAGGATGCTGCTGCAGAGATAATTGACGCATGAGAGAGTTTGAGGAGAGAATCGGAGAAGCCAAAATAAAAGTTGCTGGATATAGTTACAGAGGATGGTTTGACAAAAGTTTCTGAATAAATAAGGAAAAGGCAGAGTAAAAGACTCAACCATTTGGCAATGAGAGTGTAGCCTTTGTGAAGGGAGCTGGCACTTGGCAGCATAAGGGCATATCATTTTATGTTTGGTATCAAACTTCTTATTTTATGCTTTTCTGAATTCATTTTGCCTGTGATATTAAGGTTGGCAGTACAAACAAGGAGACAGCTACAATTTCTAAGGGCTTGAAAGAATTCTTATCCCATAGTAATTGGCGTTCTTAATCTACTGTTGCTGATTTTTCCCTCCCTTGGCAAATTTAAGAATCTGGCTAACTGTATAGTTTGTGCAGGAATTGAAAGAGAGCAACATACCACATTAAAGTGTTCGCATCTGCTACTCTCCATCTGCAAGAACAAGTCACACTGCCAAAATTGGTGCATCTGTTTTGAATCTCCCATTTTAAGGCTCGCAATGTAAAGTGAGCTGTCTAAATCATATAACATTCTTGTTTTTTAGGGCATCTACTCACCTGCTGCACTTGTAGTGCTTGAAAAGTTTTCACATTCTCCTTAATGTGAAGTGAGTTGTCTAAAAATTGTGGTTGTAAGTATGAGTTAAGGTCAATGAGTTTTTTCTCCCCATTCTTCCTCGTGCTTATTATAAAGCACTATTGGGCAGATGATGGAAGATCTTCGAGAACGGTATTTTGGTCCCTTATTTGAACTCTTTTTGCATGATAAGGTAACATATTCGTTGAGTTTATTTTAGATTTTTCCTTCCATAATTATGATCGATGAAGGGTCTTATGCATATGTATATGCCAAAGTTGAGGAATCGAGTTATAGAAAATTTCATTGCAGCGAGGCTTCAGTCTATAACACCCACCATCTCTCCCCGAGCAGGACAGCCCTTGCCATTAGCAATTGAAGCTTACTTTTATTTTATTTTTTTCCTTTTCAATTGACAGTATCCAGAGATATGGGAATTGGATGATAAAGATCTATTCATGCAACCGGAAGGTGGAGAAAGTGTTAATGATGTTGACTTGATGAGGCTCCAGATTCTAATATGCTAGAAAACTCGAGTTTTTTTATAGTTTGAATGATGGGTTGGAATGATGGATGGATGATCACGTATTCATATCAAGCTTCTCTTCTCATGGATTGTTTTTTTAGCATTCTTTTAATATTTTAAAAAATAAAATATAAATACTAAAACCTTAACTAAAACAAACAATTAAGTTTATAATCCAATAAATATAATATCCAACAATAACTAAATTAAACTCAATAAATAAATTTAAATAAAATTTAACATCACAAGAGTTAATCTATCCTACAAACATATAAACCACATCTCGGTATTGTTCCCCCGAATTTCGAGCCTCAATTTCTTGAAAGTCCTAATTTCTTGGAAGTCCTATATATGTTTCCTCATCATTCAATGCGACGTTATCTTGCCTCTTCTTTAAATAATGTTTCCTCATCATTCAATGTGACGTTATCTTCAATGCTGACGATTCTTATGCATGCGATCAGAAGCGATGTGCAACGACGCGGTGGTGGTGGCTATGTCTGATTTAATTTAACATTGTTGGTGGACTGCCCTTGTGTAAGGGTGGTGCGGGTTTTATCCAAGTCAATACACGATTGTTCAAGGTTTTGTTTGATAACCGGTGGTTAAGGTTTCGCTGACCGGCGTACTTGGCAACTTCATTGGTGGCGGAGTTGCATGCATGCGCAATAAACAATATGGCTACTGGGCTAAAAACTATCCTCAACTTGAGGCCAATTAAAAAAAATAGTCCTAACCTGTTAAGAAAATCAGTTTCCATTTTCAATATTGGAGGAGAGCCAATATCAACCTGCATCTTCTATCTTAGGAATGTGCGTTTGCGTTTTTTCTATCAATCTTGTCCTGTGCTAAAAGATATTTCTCATCTTTCTATGGCCAAATAAGCGGAACAGATTGTCAAGTGGAAATATTGATATGCATTAACACATTAATTTAACAAGCATCCATACAAGGCAATGCCTCAAGCATCCAAGTAGCTCGATTGCTGTATAGGTTTTCACGTACAACAATGGCTTTCTTTAAGCGTTTATACAACATTTCAATTTCAAAAACCAAATATGAGATACATGTCTAGCAAGCCCATGTGAAGGATCTTGCAGCTGATGAAAAGATTTCCTCAGATGAAAATTTGAGCCCCAACCTTCAGTCTCGTTGTCGAACAGTAAAATGCTCTCATGCATGTCAGCCAACAGCCATCTCATCGAAGAAAAATAATAGCTCGTGTGATTGGGATGCCAGTACAAGACATCTTTCTGAGTTTGTTAGGTCCAGTTGTTCTTCGATCCTTGATCTGATACCCCTGAATTTGTTTCCATAGAAAGAGATGAAAAAAGAAAGGACTCTAATCTTTAGTGACCCATCTACGACCTCTGATAAGATAGCTTTGATCGCTGCTACTTTCTCCTCCACTTTCTCCACTGGTATGTCCTGATGTCTCACGGTGGTGTTTCTTCCCCCTTGCTATCCCAGTGTCACTGATGCTCCCATTTAAAAGAGGGTCGTCAATTCCACGAATGACCCTCCTTGCGGGTGAAGCTGTTGCTATGCAACTATCATCCTTTGTTCTTCTCTTTTCCTTGTTGTGTTTCTTCATATTTTGAGAAATTTTATGCAATTTCTCGTTGAACTTTATAATCCCCTTTTCTACAGGCTCCACAGCTTGGTTTACGATGAACTTCACATCATTCACAATCTGCATGGGAAGCCAACAGCTGATTCAGCAGTGGATAAATGTGATGTAATGACTCATGTGCTTCACCAAACTTAATTAACACAGTATGCATTGCCACATTTGAGTTTTACACTTGGTAATTATCATATTTTCCCATAGTGATTGCACAGCAATAATTTAATTGCAATGGTCAATTCCAAGTAGAAGCTAAATGGGTAATTATCATATTTTCCCATAGTGATTGCACAGCAATAATTTAATTGCAATGGTCAATTCCAAGTAGAAGCTAAATGGAAGAAACTTACAAATCCACCACCACCAACAACAACATCTCGTACACTTTCTTTTATGGTCATTCCACTCCTAACATCAATGTCAGGTTGAGGAAGGCGTAGCTTTGTTGGCCGCTCACTGTCTCTAACCTCATCAGGATCTACCGGGCAATCAACAGATACATAATCTCCAAGAACTGCAACACTTCCAGGAAACCGGTCTCCCATTAGCTCATAAGGCTTGGCAGGGAACACATACAGATGAACAATAGAAGCAATGCCCATCTGTGCTGGATGAATACATAGACCTGTTAAACTTCAATATTTTGAATGAGAAAAGAGCAGTTATAAACTCTATTGAAGAGATCCAGACAGCAATGACTGTTGTATTCCCCGGGAATATTATAACAGTAGTTACAAGAAAACTTCACCAATCAAATTTGAACAGACATATATGTAGCACATTGCAGTAAAAGACACGGCCAACAATAGTCAGTAACTTCATTCAGAAACCCCCAGAACAGCAAAACAAAACAAATCGCCCCATAAAACATTCTATAAGGGTGTTTAAACAGACATAACAGTAACTATCAGTCTAACTCCACCATATAATGCAAAGTGATGTGTTCAGCATTTTAGATAGTTTAAGTCCATGAGAAATGACATCCTAGATATGCTACATGAGCAACCAAACAGTACATCCACTTAAGCAATCTTTTATTTTGTTTTTTCTCTTTACTGAAAAGATTTTAAATGAGTCTATTTTATTCAAAACCTCCCTCTCCCCATTACCACTAAAGCTAAAGCCCAAGGACACTGCATCTAACACTTTACCACACACCTTCCAAATTGTGAGATATACCGCTATTATCTCCTCTCTCCTCACTGCATCACCTTAAGTCAAAAAATTGACCCTTGACCTAAAGTTCATTATATCAGCAACATGCTATAGTTTCCTCTCTAGAGAATCAAATAGTTGACATTTCCACTTCCCAGAATGCTTAAGTTTCTTCTATACCCATTCACATATAATAGAAGGCACACAAAGATGCAGGGGCATTTTATTGAAAAAACAAAATCTTGCTTCTCCTCTATCATATGAATTCCAACAATCTTGTAGAAATTACACAACTTTCACAATTACCTTGACATAAAATCTTGACTCGTCGAAAGAACCTAGTGGCATTTGGGTGGTTCAGAAATTTAAATTGCCCAAGACCTTAACCTATTCATTTCACGATGGAAAAGACAGCTACTAGAACAGCAATAGATTATCTGACACCATCAAGAATGAAAATTATATATGTAGAATAGCAGGAGAGATGCATTGGTAATGGAAGATGTCTACCTCTATACAAATGATGAAGTCTTGAAGACTTGACTTAAATTGCAGACCTTGAGCTATAGAACTTTTGAATAAACCAAGAGAACAGAGCAGAGCAATTGCCACTCCTTGCCACCAGGTCAAAAATACAATTGATTTAAACGTCAGGAACTTGTACAAAGGTTTTATGTGAGCAAGTTCATCCTTTGTGGCAGTGTAAAATTGCACCAAACAGTACAATGCCCAAGATTGACTGAAATTTAGAATAACCGCTATGTAAGGATACCTACAAAACCAGGGAATGCTAAGGCACTTAGGAATTTGTATATGGAATGCTAAGGTAATTAGATACCTACAAAACCAGGGAATGCTAAGGTAATCAGTATTTTTAACAAGAAAAATCCTTTAAAAGAATGTGCATATCAATTGGGCCAGTTTAGAAGTAAAAAACACACACACTTGCGTATACAACAAAGAGTCCACATAGATTGACCAATTTAAAGAATATACAGTTAAACTATGAACCAATGAGTAAATTGGCATAGGAAATTAATTCTTAACCTGTATCATTACCAAGAAAGCCTTTACAGGAAACAAACAGTTCAAGTTTCAAAGAAGAAAAGAAACAATGGACCTCAAAAATGTAAGAATCAAGATCAGCTTTACCCGCATCTCAATTTAAAATCTCCTTCACAATATACACCAAAGGCTTCAAGAATTACAGCTAAAACTGCTGTCAAGGACTTTATTAACATCTGTCAATAAAGATACGAGTTATTAAGCTTTCCAATCTAAGAATGCTGGAATTGGAAAACGTAAAAGAGATGCAAAAAGACAAAACTTCCAAAAAATGAACATACATATTGAACAATACCGAACTTTACAACTTGGTAAAACCACTGACCAAGCCTCCATGGTTTAAGGATATAGTTCATAGGAAAAGGGTGCTTTATGGTTCCCCTTTCATGACTATGCTCTAAAAGGGGTGCCTTAGAACTTGAGTGACCTTCTCTGTTCAAAAACTCAATTGTTCTTTCTTCCCCACCTTTAAAAAGTAAATAAAAGAGAGAAACCATCAATAACAATGTCAACACCAGAAGATAAACAAAATTAAATCTGGAGAGTAATTAGAGAAAACAATAGAAAAATATCCCATCCCTATTTATGATTAAAAATAAAAAAAATAAACAAAGAAGATCTGCATGCCATGATGATAAACAATAATTGAAATTATCATGCGGCAACACAATCAAAGTGTTCTATATAGAACACAACTTTCACTCATAAACACGAAAACAGTTTGCAATTTGATGTACATTCAAAACTAGATTGGCAAACAACTGGACATGTGCATTAGTACACGTGCATTATAGACTGAATTTGATTATGTTTACTTTTTTCTCTGAATACTCAGATAATCTATGGTAAAGTAACATAATATTGGCCTTCTGGCTGGAAGAAATTCTATGGCTTTTGTGAAGTGTTCACTTCATATGTTCATGTTTCCTGCATAACTTTAATTTTTGCACATTTCAAAGGAACCTAGAACACCCTTGCATTTGTCAAAACCAAAGCGATGACAAGGGCCATGTTCAACAAGTTCTTTTTGTTTCAGAGGGTAACTAGTATTCAAGAAAACTCCATCATGACCTTGTGGGGTTTTAGGAACAACAAGTTCAACAACAAACTGCAGAAGAAAACTGCATGTAAGTGCTAAAAAATTCTCAAGATTCTGGTTTGCATAACACGATAAATAGACGGAAGTATAGAAATGTCTATTTCATGGAGAAGAAAATATATGAAGATCAGTAAACAACTTCAAAAAACTACAACCACAGAATCTAGAAAATTACAAAATTATACAAGACGAATTAACCAAATTTCAGGTAAGAACCCTTCATTGCACACAAAATACTCATAGTAAGAAACATACCTAAGCAAGCAACAAGGTATCTTCCAAAGCAATACATAGCAAACGATTCATAGCAATCCCGCAATATCTCAATATCAACACTAATCGACGGATCCAGCAACGACACAAACTATTCAAAATAACCCATGTTAGAAAAAATTCAAAACCCCCCACCTCTCCAAATTCGAAACAGAAACAACCCATTGTTCAAAATTCAAACTTTTCACAAAATAATCCTCAAACAAGCTGAAAAAATCACTCACTCACCGATTCTACAGCATAACAAGGAACCATAAGGATAACCCCAATTAAAAACTTCTGCTCCTGAGAGATAAAAAAAAGTCAACTAACAAATCTCAACTAACTCGTTCAAAATTAAAGACAAGACAGGGAGACAAGGAGCCGATCAGTCACCTCAGGATTCTTGTAAGCGGAGAGATGCTCGAACAAGAGGTAGAAAGACAAAGATAAGGTTAGAAGCACAAAAGCACCAGAAATCAAAGTACACCATAAGGGAGTTGAGAATCTTATAAGAAGATAAACTATAAGATCCTGTAAATACTCCATGGCCTGACTTTCTTCTCTCAAATGCTCACAATCATGAAGCATAGTTTGAATTTCCCATTTCCAGAATCAATCTAAAAAAACAAAGAGAGAATGATTGTGAGTCAAATTTCGAAGCTTTCATTCATTCATAAATCATTAGATAACAATAACAAAGAATTCAAATAAAAAAATGAAAATAATTCACGTGCCTACAGCTGAGCTTGTTTGTATGTTTGGTTTTTAGACCAAATTGAATTGAAGAAGGCCGGGAAACTGGAGGGGTGAGTGGGCATAGGCGAAATAATCCTGCTCTGCAACAAAGAAAGGATTTTTATTCACTACATTATCGTATAGAAAGCAAAGACTTTCATTAAAAATAAAAATCACAGCACATCAGCTGCTTTTGGTCCCACCTGGCTCCCACACAAGGTTTTGATATGATCATGACATCAATTGACTGGTCATTTTTGTTTTTTTTAATTCACTCCGTCATGTAGCAGAGTGAGGGCTTTGATTAGTACTAGAGGTCAATTTTTTTTATTCCGTTTGGTTTCAATCTAAAAAATAATTAAATTAAAATTTATTTTAAAAAATTAAAAAAAGTTCAAACTAATTAATTTTTAATTTTTATTCGGTTTGATTTAGTTAATTAATATTAAAACTAGAAAATCTTTATTCTTTTTTGGGTCTTTTTAGATTTTTTTAGGGGTTTTTTTGAACTTTATCATGCTTTTAAAAGCTTAATTGATGTAAAAAATATTCCAATTGTTTTTTTTCTTTTAATTGAATGTTTTGTGATTTTTAATGTGCTTTTAAAAGACTTTTTAAATGATGTAAAAAATCTATTGCCCAAATTTAATTTAATTTTTGTCCTTTTGTCTTTGAACTTGGCTTTTTAACACTTTTTTGGAGGAGCTGTTCATAATATCAATACATCCATGGTTTTATCACACGAAGAACCACAGTCATGTAAACAAATCATAAGGAAATACTTACAGATTGAGTATGACCAATCAGACTTGTTTAATATTTGGACAGGGTAGATGACAAAATCTAATAAACATGCATAGCTGGAATAAAATCAAACCATGTTATTAAGTTGAAGTAAAGGTTCCTTTGGAAATTTGGTTTTTTACACTACTCATGGCAGAGCATAGAAAACAAATGAAGTGGTGTGTTATATGCTCTTTTTTTAAAAAAATATTTTTTGTTTGAAAAGATATTAAAATAATAATTTTTTATTTTTAAAATTTTATTTTTATTATTATCACATTAAAATAATCTGAAGACACATGAAAATTAATTTGAAATAGAAAAAAATTTTAAAAATTATTTTTTAAAAAACATTTTTAAAACACATGAATAAACAGGTCTTACATATGAATTTGCTTAGTAAATCCTCTTTATTGTATTAGTTATACCATACACTAAAACATATGAGGTTTTTAATATTATAATCTATAGTGAAAACTGTCGCTTTGACCTTATACATGTAAGTAATTTGTTTTTTTTATTTGATTTTTTTTCAATCAATATTTGTTTTTATTCTTTAATATTAGATTTATTTTTTATTGGATTATCTCACTTTTATGACACGTATTGCGGGTTTGTTATATTAATCTAGTTGATTTAATTTTTTTTCTTAATTAACTTTTTTTTACAATCTTATTCTTTAATATTGAGTTAATTAAAAATTAAACTCTATAATTTATTTTCTTTGCTTTTTATTAGGTTATTTAGGCCTTATGAACCAAGACTATTGCTTGGCAGATTAACTTGAGTTGACTCGGGTTATTTTTTGTTTTTCAATTAATTTTGTTTTGTAATTTTATCATTTAGTATTGGGTTGGTTGAAAACTAAACTTCTTAATCTATTTTGATTTGCTTTTTATGAGGGTGTCCTGGTCTCATGATCATGGACGTGAGTTTTAGCATTTAACCCCAGTTAAATCGGGTTGTTTTTTTAATTTTCTTTTGAAGAGGTTATCCCAGTTTCATAACTAAGGTCATGGATCCTTCAAAATTGGATTTGTTTTTATAGTGTTGCCTCTCATTTCATGATTCAGGTTGCAGGTTGGGGGGTTTAACTTATTTGTTTTTTTTTTAATTTTATCATTTAATATTATATTTGATTTGTTTTTAAGCTTTCTTTTATTAAGTTATCCTAGCCCAATGACACAAGAATAGTGTTTAATGGGTTAAGTAAGGTGACACGACGAAAAGATTGATGTCTTCTCCCAAGTGCAGGAGTGTCGAAGTAATAAATAACCCGGCAAGACCGGGGTCGAACCACAGAGAGGTTATTTGTACAAATTATAAATAACAATAATACAACAACAATAACAATAACAACAACAACAACAACAACAACAACAACAATAATAATAATAATAATAATAATAATAATAATAGTAGTAGTAGTAGTAGTAGTAGTAGTAATAATAATAATAATAAAGAAAGAGAAGAAGAAGAAGATGATGAGAACTTGGAGATGGAAAATTAATGTAAGGATTAAACAATAATAATAACAAATGTCAAGGTTAGAGGTTCCACTAATGGTATATCAAACAAGTATAGTATAAACTCTTATTATTGAATTGGAAACCACACACAAAGGAGGTTCCAATCAGATTATATATTGTTAACATGATTACATTAGTCATCTTATTCAATTAATGCTAATACTTGTAAATCTCGTCAAGCATTCATGATTATAACTTATGTTAACAACAAATCAAGTTCCTTTCATAGCTCAGGTGTCGGTTATACCATACATTATGGGCTATGAAAGTGCCAAGCATTTGTTGTACCAAGTGTTATACAACATAAATCAAGATTAGTCATTTAACAAGCAAAGTATTAAAGAGTGAACAAGATAACAAATATAAAACATGTTAGTATCAAACATTAAAGTCCATATTAAGTTTACACTATACTTATTCTTCCACCATTAGTGTAACCTTTTCACCTTGACATAATTAACTTAGCTAGACATAATAAAAGAAAGGAAAACAAATAAACAAAATAAGAACATAAAAGTTAACTAAGTAAAGGAAAGGAAATGAAAGGCATAAACTTAATATTAATGAAAGCAAAGCATAAACATTACAAAAAATACAAAGAGAGAAAGGAAGAGCATGATCTTGATCTGGAAACCAAGATGCCTAAATGCATAGCAAATGCCTCCTTTTATAGGCCAAAATTGGGAACTATTGATTTGATGACTAATTGATAAGTGGGTGGCCAACTTTTGACTTGGTGACAATCCTTATCTTCTCTTGTCTGCCCAAAACGTCATTGATAACGTCAAAATTGGAGCCAGTTGCAAACATGAAAGTTGTAGGCAATTGTCTCAGCTTTCTTGTGTAAAAAATTCAGCTCATTTGGACTTCTAGAACTCCAGATATGGCCAAAATACTGAACAGTGCTCGGGCTGGAAGACAGATTCGGGCTTCTTTGTTGTTGCTACAATTTGGACTTGATAATGGCCTTTTTAGATCTTGGGCTCCATATGAAAGTTGTAGGCCTATGTCTTACCTTTCCATCCATATAAATTGGACCTAAATCTGAGATCTGTAGCTCCAGATATAACCCAATTACTGAACAGTGTTCCGGTTTGGATTGCACCGACATCTCTTCTCTAAGTTTGACCATCTCTTTATCCATGCAATTTAAGTTCTTCAAGTCATCAATCAATCCTTTCATTTATGTGATAGACCTGCATTAAAAATAGACATTTACCACAAATTATAGGTATCTTATATTATTAGATATATTATTATAAAACATATTTTAGTTAAGGAGTTATTGATACTTCAAGTGCAAAATGATGATATAAAACCATGATAAAAATGCACTTTTAAGTACTAATCATAAGGTTGACTTGACTTTTTTTTTATTAAAATTTTTACAAGTTTTATCGTTCATCACTTGGTCTAACAAGTTTAATTAGAAATTAAACTTTATATTTTATATTTATTTGCTCTCTAAAGTTATCTCAGTCTTATAACTAGATTCAGAGGTTTAGTAGGTTAAATTATGTCATTTTTTTCTATGAGGTTATCTTCACTTTATGACTCGGGTCATGAATTTGGCAAATTAACATGAATAATTTTTAATGTTCATTTTTCTATAAATATATATAAGGTTATAATAGTCTTATAACCTGAATCATAAATTTAACATGTTAACTTGAGTTAACCCAAATCAATCTAATATGTTGTTATCTTAATATAAAAAACAATATGTCATCTTGAATTTTTTTAAATCAAATTATATTTTTATAAGTTATTTGAGTTGTTTTTAAACCTATAAACTCAATCAAATCATATTAGATTAATCCCTACATGATTTTTTTTCATTAGAAAAAATTAAACATTGGCAATATTTATATACTATTTTAACATTCATGAAACATTTAACTTAATTCACAACATATCACAATTTAATAATTTAATTACTTATAATCTAAAGTGTGTGGGGGTGAATATTATGCAATCATATAGGTCACTCCTTTCACGTTTTATTATGGACGTATTGTTCACTATTTTGTTTTTACTATAAATTTAAAGGAAAAATGTGTTAAGTGAATACTATACAGCCATACTATTTGCTATTTTTTTAAGGTTCTGCTGTAAATTTAATAAAAAAAATATTAAACCTGATTGAGTTCATAGTCCAAGTTCATCCCACTAGTTTTATTATGGACAAAACTATTAATTTTTTTGTTTAAGAAAAAATATTTTCTTTTTTTCTTTTTATTTTTTAAAAATTAATCTTATTTATATTTATATTTAAATTTAAATTAATATCTATTCTCTCTTTTATGTCATTTAGAAAGCCAATTTTAAAATGATGATTATTTTTTATTTTTTGAGAAAGTTTTTCTGATTAATTTATATTTTTTAATCTTTTATATATATATGAATTGTATTTTTTAAAATAAAAAAATTTATTTAATATAAAGTGGACCTAAATATAAGATCTACAACTCCAGATATGACCCAATTACCGAACAGTGTTCCGGTATGAACTGCACCGGCATCTCTTTTCTAAGTTTGGTCATCTCTTTGCCCTTGCAATTTAAGTTCTTAAAGTCATCAATCAATCCTTTCATTTATGTGATAGGTCTGCATTTAAAATGAACATTTACCATAAATTAAAGGTATGTTATATTATTAGATATATTAGTATAAAACATGCTTTAGTTAAGGAGTTATTGATACTTCAAGTGCAAAATGATAATATAAAACCATGATAAAAATACACTTTTAAGTACTAATCAATGCTGCTAGTATACATGATGAAGCAATGATTTGACTTTAATATATTTGTTTTTCCTCTTTTATCTCTATTCTTCTCGCTAAATTATAAAGGTAGTCTTTTATTTTTTTTATATTTATTTCAATCTTTATTTTTTTTATTACTATTTGTTTTGATTTTTTTATCTTGTTTTGATTGATTTTTTTTTCAATTTTATCCATCATCATTTTATTTCATTTAATTTTAGTATCAAATTTAGTTCTCATCATTTTTTTTATTCTTAATTGAATTTTGTTTTCAATCTTATATTCTAGTATTTTGTTGATTTAGAATTTTGCTATGGTATTTGGTTAGTTTTACCTTCTATTTGGTTGGTCTTGAACTCATAACAAGAATCGAAGTTTCAAAGGTTAATACGTGTGGATTTTGGTTTTTTTTTATTAGGTTTTTTTTTTAATTTTTTTTTCAATTTATTACTTGAACATTTGATTCATTAGGAATTGATCCTTGTTCTTTTTTTTTTTAATTTTTTTTATAGAATTATCTTAATCTTATGCTCAGGATCACGAGTTTAGAAAGTTAATCCAGGTTAATTTATTTTTTATATTTTTTTAATTTTACTTTTTAATATTAAATTGTTTAATAATTAAAATTTATAGTTTTATTAGTTTGCTTCCGACAAGTTTTATTAGTTTTTTAGGTTGTGAATTTTTTTTTGTCAATTATTATTGTTATATTTTATATATATATTATTTAAATTAATTAAATTCAAACAAGTCAATAAAGCGACTCTTAAGTTTTTTTGGCTTTCTGGAAACATTTGCATTGCCTTGGCACTTTTTTCACGTTAAAAGAAATTACGTTCGACCACGGCAGAGCGCTACCCCTATCTAGTTATTACTATGCAACAAATTGATTCCCTTGTAGAAAGGTTTTTCTGTGGTCCCTCCACCCAGACTGCCCATGAATGAAAGTAATTGAGACATCACCTTTGGACTCATGGCCACTAACACACACACTTTAGAGATGACTATGACCCATGAACTACACCTCTGCCTCCATGATCCCTCCTCGACGTTTGAACTTTCCTTGGATGCTTATTTTTCTCTCACCAATTTCTAATCTTCCCTAGAACTCCATCCTTGGCATCTAGTAAGCTCAGCCTGAGCTGCTCAGGGACCGTGTAATGGAGTGCATTCTTTGAGAAGGATGCATTATTGCATTGTTACCACAGGGTTCTTATCTAATTTAGCGAAACCCTAAACTTCGCTTTCCTGTTTTTGCACATGCAGGCGTTTATAACAAGCTGCAAAGAAGTCTCTGTTAATATTGCGTGGTATTTGGGAAGAAGACTTTGAAAAGTCAATAGGTCAACTTCTCTTTGATTTGCTAGCCAGTGGGAAGGAGTCTTTCAAAGACCAGGGGCAAATTTACTGGGCTAGTGCTATCACCGACCAAACAGACGATATCTAACATGTGAATTTCGCAGGGCTACCCCACCTGCTGTCCATCTTAATCATTAGTCTTCCTACTCAAGTTTCCAAGTCACCTGACGTGTGTTGCCAGATAAAGAATTATGTACTTTGAAGAGACACCAAGACATAGTTCAAGCAAGAAAAGTTGATCCTGTTGGTGTCTCCATTTTGTTTCTTAAAATTGGGAGCTCGGGGATGGCTCCCGTCCCTTTGCTGGTTTTCTTTGCCCTCTTTCACCCTTTGCTTATTTGCGCTTCCAAAGAAGATGGCTGGGCCTTCAAGAACTGTCTGCCTTTCACTTGTGGAAAGCTCGGAGAAATCGGGTTCCCATTTGCCAACAACACAAGTCCTGAGATATGCGGTCCCTATGCGGTGGATGGTTGTGACGAAAAATCTCAAAGGATCCAACTAGTAAGGGGAGGAAAACGGTTTGAACTTCACAGCATCTCTCAGGCTGGTACCATTTCAATCACTGATGAGCAATTGCGGGGACATTTGAATTCCAATTCATGCGATTCCTTCAACAATTTGAATCTTCCAGCCAGTCTCCCATACTTAACTATTCGAGAAATCTCCAGCCTAACTTTATTCAAATGTGACCCCAGTGTCAATTTTCCTAAACATCTTGAATTTAAGTATACAGGATGCAAGAACTTCAGCATCTATTATACTCGCGACACCAGTCTGCCTAGTCCTCCACCTACCTGTTCAATTCTTCAGCTCCCAGTGAACAAAACCGAGAGTTATGGTGACATATTCAGGCTGTTAACAGCTACCTTCTCTATTGAAGTGTTCGTATGGCGTCACTGTTATCATTGTTATTTGAAAAGAGGGGAATGTAAAATCATCAAAGGAAAGCCCAAGTGCATCCATTCAATTGAAGGTATGATATGCATGGACACAGCAAAAATAGGGAGAGATAAATACATGTAAGTTTATTTGTATTTGTATACTACGACCCCGTATAGTCCTGAGGACCTTAAGACATTTTACTAGACCTACTATTCGTTATATCTGGTATTCCACTAAATTCCTGTCTTCTATGCAATTGATTTTAGCTTACTGGGTTTGGTTTACAATTATGGGTCGTGAGAATAGAATTTAGCTTGCCACAAAATCCCATATTACTCATAAGCAGGTCCTCCTTGCTCTGAATTTTTTGTTTTGTTTTTTGCTGATTTTTGTTCATATTAAATATTGGAGAATTCGATTTGGCAAAGCATGCATAAATTCGTTGTTTTAACTTTCTTGCACTAATGCCATATTTCCTTTTTTTATTCGTGTTGCAGAGAGAGAAAAATTGAGATTGAAGCTCGGACTAGGTAATTTACCTCTCAACATTTCGATCTCTTCTGCATATGTTTCGGCAACAACATCCAATGAAAAACATCCTGCCAGTAAAATAGTTTCATCCAAGGATATATTTAAAAAGTACAGTACTCTTCTTTTCAACTGCAGGTCTCGGAATCCCTTTCATGGTGTTAATAATTTTGGTGTCCGTATTTTTCATCCGCTGGCATCGACACAAGATAAAACACATTTCCTCTAACGTCAATTTAGCAAATGCTTCTTCAGATCCCTCGTCAAAATCAGACCCGGAAGGGGACAGTAACTACTTTGGGGTCCCCATCTTCTCCTATTCTGAACTTGAAGAAGCCACAAACAACTTCGATTCCAAACAAGAAATTGGTGACGGCGGTTTTGGAACTGTATATTACGGTAGGTTTTCTTAACTGAAAAACAATTTACTGTAGGTTTTCTTAACTGAAAAACGAAGGATGAAAGAAAGAAAGCGAGCGACTTTATTTATGGGCTTTTCTTTTTTTATTTATCAATCTCGACAGGCAAACTACGAGATGGGCGGGAAGTTGCAGTCAAGCGCCTGTATGAACACAATCGTAAGAAGATAAAGCAGTTCATGAATGAAATTCAAATCCTTACTCGCCTGCGCCACAAAAATCTCGTGTCTCTTTATGGGTGTACTTCTTGCTACAGCCGCGAGCTCCTCCTTGTCTATGAATACATTCCCAATGGCACAGTTGCAGATCATCTCCATCATGATCGAGCCAAATCTGGTTCACTAACTTGGACTATTCGAATGAGGATTGCCATAGAAACGGCTAGCGCATTGGCTTATCTGCATGCAACTGATATCATTCACCGGGATGTAAAAACGCACAATATCCTTCTTGACAACAATTTCTGTGTGAAAGTTGCAGATTTTGGGCTTTCCAGGTTGTTCCCCAACGATGTCAGTCACATCTCAACTGCTCCACAGGGAACACCTGGCTATCTTGACCCAGAATACCATCAGTGTTACCAGCTGACAGCTAAGAGTGATGTCTATAGCTTTGGTGTTGTCCTCATTGAGCTCATATCATCAAAGCCTGCTGTTGATATGACTAGGAATCAGCATGAGATTAATTTGGCCACATTAGCAATAAACAAGATTCAAAAATGTGCATTTGATGAGTTGATTGACCCATATCTTGGGTACAAGTCAGATGAGGAAATTAAAAGAATGACAACTTCAGTTGCAGAGTTGGCTTTTTTATGCTTGCAGCCGGGCAAGGAAACCAGACCTTGTATGAATGAGGTGCTAAAGGAACTAAAAGCAATGGAAAGTGGGGGGTATGAGTTGGAGAATCTGGAACAGGAGCATGGTGATAACGATGCATCAAAGAAAAAGGATCCTCCGGATTGTGTTGTGGCTGCATTGCTAAAGAATATCCGGTCACCGCTGTCATCGAATTCCACAACTGATCAGTGGTTTAGCAGTTCTGCTACACCTAATGTCAGCAATTAATATTTCTACTTTGTGCTCCGTTATTAGTATATTTTGGTCGTTACATACGGGCGTCAACATGTAACATCTAATCCATGTCGAAACTGCAACAGAGAGATTGATGGCCAGAAAACTGCAAACCTTCTCTTTAATTTACACCTCGAAAATATCCTCAATACAATTTGTGCATCCCATGGCTCCTCCAGAACTCCAAATGCTTTGAACTATTTATGTTCTGTTTCTTTACCATCACTCTCCTAAAACTAGAACTGTAAATGGTTATGTTTAACAAGCAAATTAAATCCCTGATATTCGAACAGATTTCTCCACTGATGCTCCTGCTCTACAACAGGTTCATCCAATAGTGGTCGATAGAGAACGGAAGAGGAGCTAGAAATGCTTGGTCATGGCAAGTTCTATGCATATATCTCCAAGCCAATTGGAAACTGAAGATACCATATTGTTATCCAAGGTTCGAATGTAGGGAGGCCGGGAGAAGAATTCTTCTTTTTGCGAGGAGGACGTGCTTACTCGATTAGGAAGAAATCGAGTGTGCGAGAGCTAGCTTGAAAAATTAAATACTCATACTGATAAGACTTAAAATAATAATAATGATAATGATAATTAGATGAAACATCTAAATTTACTCGATTGATCTAATAGCTGACTTCTGTCTAATCTTGATGCTACCATGCATAAAGTTATGATAATATTAAATAATTTTTATTTAAGATGGCTTTTATATCATTATATAAGCTGTTTTATGAAAATATATTTTTCTGAAATAATTTATTTGATGATACAAACATACATGCATGAATAGTTCATTAGTTATCTTACGGTGAATTGCCAAATACATTTTTTAATATTGAAACTTGAGTTATTGTGTGTTAATATTTAATACATTCAAAAAGAAAAATACGTATTGGTTAATTGAATGAATTTTAAAAATAAATAAATAAAAATAGAGCATGATAAATTTAGGAAATTTACCTGATGATAATAATTAGTAATGAGCATTTGGAAAGATGGCCTTGTTTGTTTAATGAGTTACTAACACTTATCAAGGAAACTATATTTTTGACGATACAAAAAAAAAAAATTATGATTTATGTTTAGAGAATAACAAGGGGTGTATGATCCATTTAAAAAATAAGACAAAGAAAAAAAGAAAAAATATAAAATAATCTCCCGTTAATATTTCTTCTCTATTTATATCTATTTTTGTCGTCTTTGAGATTTGTCCGGGTGTTGATTCTTTGATCTCTGCAAAGAAAAGCAAAGGACAAAACAGACTTTTCCAAAGCCCTCTTCTAATCGATGAAGACAAAATAATTTTCTCATTTTCCAAGATATTCCATTCAAAGCAAGGAAGGAAGGAAGCACGCACTTTAAGAAAACTAAAGTAGAGAATTGGAGATTTCCAAAACTGATCCTTTCCTCTTTCTTCCAAGCAAAACCACAGACACACAAACATCATTATTACCATCGCTCTGATAGTGATAGATACTCCCTATTTTTATTTTAAATTCAAAATTTTCCACCGAAATTTCAGGTAACTTAAATAGACAGACAAATCAGATATAGAGAGCGAACAAATTAAGAGACAAAGAGGGAGGAACCTGCCAACAATGGCGACGTTGCAGAAATTCAAGCTTCTAGCAACACAATGCGGCGTTGCACAGAGTCCAACACGAAGCCCGAGAACGAGTCCTCTTGTCCACCTCCCCCAGCGCCGTAAAACCACACTCCGGATGCTCCTCGGACGCCGCTCTCCTCGTCGCCAGGAACCACAGCTACCGCCGATTCACCCGGTGGCGCCGTTGCCGGAGAGAAAGAGAGACACTTTGAAGGACTTGTTTATATCTTCGGCGATGTCGTTTGATGATGAATTAGAAGAGGGGAAGAGAGGGGAAGAGAGGGAAGATGTGATCGGAGGATTTGGAGGTAAGTGTGAAGTGTATAGGATGAAAGTTAACGGTTTAGGAGATGGACCGGGTTCGCCTAGACCCGGTTGGATCGGGCTTAGACACCGGTCTATTTTGAGGAGAGCTTGGCGGCCTATGCTTGTAGCTATCCCCGAGACCGAGGAAGTTCAATGTTAATTTGATTTTAACTGCCATGTCAGGGGTTTTCTACTGTTACTGAAGTGCTAGTAAATAATTTTGGTATTAATCCAATTTTTTTGGGTTAAAAAAAAAGAAGAAAGGAGTGTTTCTATTTGCCGATATGAGTTAGGGCTGTAGAGGGGTAATTTGATTTAACTATGCAAATGAAATACTGGATTTCTCAAATTCAGTTATGATTACAGTTAACCTTTTTCTTCCTCCTTTCTTTCTTTCTTCCTCCTTTCTTTGTTTTCTTTTATTTATTTTAGACCAAATATATTGGTGCATTCAGTTTCATACATCGTATTGGAGTGGCGTTCTGTTTTTCATAGGTCCCAAGTGTTTAATTCTTCCAAATACTCTCTCAAAAATAATATCAGAATTAGATGATGCATGGTCTGTCAACATTCCTGTACTTGTTGCGTGGTTGAAGATTTTTAATCATAAATAACTGGTAGCGAGGATGTCTCTCTCTCTCCAAAGCTTGCTTCTTGACACGGTTATTTATCTTTGTTACTCTGAAGCATTATATTGAATTTTGCTGGCGGAGAATATCATGTAAAAGAAGGAAAGAGGATGAGCATTGGAAAAGTGGTGTGTGGTGCAAGAATGACAGCCTGCAATGAAAATGTCGTGCTGAATTTGAGTGTTGAACGCTTTCGAAGAAGGTGTGCAGGAGAAAGTGAAAGTGGATTGGACTAGGAGGGGGAAGAATAGTGTATGGGACCCGATCATAACACGGGAAGAAAAGGTCGAGGAAGAGGGCACCCTCACGCAAGAAATAATTTTAAAAAAAAACAAAAAAGCTCGACAATGAAGATGCCTGTGGGAGAAGTCATGCTTCTTCCACTCCTCCATAAAAACTAAATTTGGCGCCCTTGCATTATATTTTCACTTCAAGTGGTATAAGAATCACCATCTTTCACCGAATATATGATTAGTCTGACAGCCTTGTTTTAGCATTCTGTGTTCTCTAATTTTGCAGCGTTTTTGCCTACAGGAAGCTTCCTGGCCCTCTGCGATATTGATGCTGCTATTGTTATCTGGTCTCAAGATTAACTTGTTTTAAATAAACCCTACTCTCGAAATGATTCTGAAGAACTAACAAATTACAAGCTTGACAACAAGCGAAATGTAAATATGCATACAATACAAGTCAAGATTCTAGACACCTGCTCATCCAAATCTAACCATGATATCCTCTTGCTCCCCCAAGTAAAGTTGAGAGGACGGAAATATCTAAAATGCCTGGTCCACGCATGCACATCATTAAATCCATCGATCATCCCCAACGTCCAAAGCGGAAGTCAGGAATTGAAAACTAAACGCAGTATAAACAGCCCGAGGACGGAAAACAGGAAGAAAAAATAAAAAAATAAAAAAGACTGAATCAACCAACTTAGGCCTTACCTTACCTTACAAAAAAATAAATCAAAATTTAGAAGAGAGAATTTTGCATTTTTTTATTACCTTCACGTTTAACTTGTCCATTTCATTTTCTGTTGAGAATTTCCCCAACAGGGATGTTGTAAAGAAACAGCACCAATCAGTGCGCAGCAGGGAGCTGCTCTTTGTTTCCCAAAGGAATAGAGGGAGTCTTATTTGGTTGGGTTTGTGATTGCCCCGAAACGGTGTTGTTACAATTAACATTTCCTTTAATCTCCTGCTGAGGTTTGGCACGGTCATCGGATTTAGTCCGGGCATGTGAATGCTTCTTGTCAGGAAGCAGAAACCGCTCGAAGAACTTGTGTATCATCTCATAACTGGTAAATGTAATCACAGCAGACGGGGTTGTTCTCATTAAGTTAGTCGCACAGCCACGGTAAAATCCACGAAAACCTTCCTTTTGGAACACTTTCTTAATACAATCAACAACACCGGCATAATGGGCCTCAGAATTTCTGAGCTGCCCTTGCTCTTGAAGTCTTGATCGCACCACCTGGTATTTGACATTAAGATATTATAACAACTGACAAGCACACACAGGAAGGGGATGGAGTTTTCATGGGAGATAAACCCTCACTAGAGTAAAGTTCCATGTCAAAGCATACCTCATGTGGATAAGTCAGTACAGAGGCAAGTACTTTGGATACTGAAGAGGCAATTGCAACATCCCCAGGGCTTAAATTATTAACAGTTGTATTACCTGAGAACTTCAAAATAGTTTAATCAGAGCTGTTTGAATATAATTACAGAAGTTGGACTGAAAACCCAGAAAGTGTAAGATAATAAACAATACCCTTCTTTGCCATGTAACACTTGATCTTTTCATATGCTGGAAATTGAATTGCAACATGACTTATCCCAGCCAAAGAAGGCAAAATCCCACTGTTTCAAACAAAGAATGCAGCATTATGAAACCAAATCATGAGAAGAAGATTTTCTAATCATCTTAAAACAATAGCACAAATGCTTGCAAAACATTACAAACATAAAGGGGCTTAAATATTACAGAAATGTACTTTCACATTGATTCCTTCAGCAATAAAAAGCTTAATCAAGAAAGCTGGGTCAAAATTAAGAGTTTACACCAGACCTGTACAAGCCTAGCATGCCTTCCTCTTGTTTAATCCGCCTCAAAGCAGAAAGTACGCTTTTGTAAGGAACCACACCTGGCCTCATTCCTTGCGTCTAAAAGAGAAGAAAAACAAATGAATATCTAAAGTGGAACAGCAATGGTGCAACAATTATTAATCGATTATAAGCTATGCAGAATAACAGTTGTTCACGTGTAATATCAGAGTACCCGGACATCCAAGCAAAGAATAATCAGGCATCCTAGCCAATCAGAATATAGAAAAGAAAGTTTCTTCTCTAACACAATGTGGTCGCACACATTGACTGTTTAGGGTCTAAGAATAACTAAATATACAAGGGAAACACAATGTTAAATAGTGTTGACTGAAATTTCTTCTCTTATTTTGAAGTTTGAAGATGTATGCTTGCTTGGGTCAAGAATCCTGCTAGAATTGATGAGGAGTTTGATCCTCAGAACTCCACCCACTCTCCAGTTATGACCTGGTTTAGATACTTCTGTGCGACTAAAATATATAGCGACATGGTTGTCCCAATTCAGCTATGAACTCTGGCAAGGCAGCAGCTTAAACCAAGCGCAACTAGAAAGTCCATTCCAATAAAAACATGTGCATATACGTTTGTCAAATCAAATACTACAGTGAAGTTTTGATAGAAGCCTTCAACAATTTAGCAGGCAGCAATTATAGTTGACATGTGATAGAACCATTGTGATCTTAACAAATATACATATTCAGAGGAAATCAGATTCATAACCATGCTGACTTACCTGGAGTCTGGTTTTCACAACCCACAATGGATTTGTAACAATGGATGTGGCAGCCCCAGAACCAGCAGCAGCTACCATGTTTGCACCAACTGAGAGCTGGCTATCCCCATCCCCTACAATATGAGAACATAAGATTTTAGAACAAATCAAAATAAGAACAGTACTTGACATTCTTCAATCTCAGAGAGAATATTAATAGAACAAGGTTTCTCATGTGAACTCAAAAGAAGACCAACACATAATTTTCAAGTAAGAAACTCTTAGAAAAACCAACCATTTGAAAGGATGCCTTTAAGTTGCTCGTAAACTGTGAAACACACCTACAAATTAAATGAAGACATTTGTCATTACAGGAAATGTGAAGAGCACATAAGGTGGTAGTTCTCATGTGTTTGTCATGAGAAAGAAAAAAAATTTAACACAGTTCCCTTTGATCAATCCCAGAGATAATCTATGCCCTGGAATTTAGAGGGTGTTTTCATTATATAATTTTTCAATCAAGATGGAGAGGGTGATGGCTTCTTATTGATCATTGTCTTCTTTCTGCAGACATGTCAACAATTATTTTCCATTCATTGGAAAATAAAACCAGATTTCCAATTCCCCAACATTAAAATTCTCCACAAGAACACAAGGAAGAACCAAAGAGGCAAGCTTGGGACAAGGTGGATTCAGAAAATCCACACTTTAAGTCCTAGATCATAGACTTTACATTTTAGCCCAACTAATCACATTGTCAGCACCCTAGTGTCTTTCAATCATCTATCTATAAAAACAAAAATTATAAAGCAACATAGGCAATACTCACAGCCCAGTTCGGAAGAAGTGCCATTATTGTTGGAGAGAGCCCACGATACAATCCCTTAAAACCTTCAGTTTTCACAATGTGTTGAAGACTTGAGATGATGATGCTACCTGAGCATAGAGGGCACGGAAGAGCACAAGAATGGGTTTAAATCAATAAGCAAGGAAACTGCACTATCCATCTGGTATTTGGAGAATAATCATATTTTCTAGTTCATCTGAGGAATGATGGAAATCCAATATACTCTGAATGTCACAATTACCAGTTAATATTGATTGCGTAGGACAAATAGGGAAGACAATGCATGCATGTTTAGGGGAAAAGGTCAAGAAGATGGAGGAAGGAAGTTAGAAGTTTCCCATTGAAATAGATGACATAATCGCAACACTTTATGGACTGTCTTAGTACTTAAAACCAAAAATATATTATAAACCAACAAACAAGCACCTGTAAACAAAAATTACCACTCAATATCTCAGTTTAGTCATAAACAAAAAATCGGGGTTCATGTTCCTATTAAGTTACTTGTCAAAGCTATTTAGCCTTCTGTTTCTTAAAAAGATGCAGTCTTTACTCGTCTAAATATCTAAAAACCAATTCAATCTCAAAATACATCCCTAGAATGTGCACCATAGATGCTTATAAGTTGACCAATTCATAGTTTTTCAAAGGATTACCATAAAACATTATATTCAAGGGCACAAAATCTTCCATACCTCCTTGACCTGAATTGGGAGGCAAGGCATGGACTTGTAACCTTGTCTTGATCACATCCAATGGGCACATAAAAGTGGCTGAAATAACACCTGCAAGAAGAATAAATTATATAATCTTGCAGAAATTATCCAATCTTTAATCACCTAAACTTGCATGCACCAACCAACAAACAAAAATTCTTGTGATTTCTTGAATTAGACATAAAACCCACAAATTAAAATCACAAACAAAACATTATCAACCAAAAGTCTTGAGCTTTATCAAGCAGACCTGCGGAGGCACCAGCACCAGCATGGCATGCTAACTCCCTGGGGCTTCGCTTATGGACAGCTTCCCCACCTCCAGTCATCTTTGAAAACTCAGTATAATTCTAAGAATTCTATAAAACAAAACCAAATCAATATATATACCTACAGGTATATGAAAAAGAGAGAAAACACGAGCCCCTTCTCTCTGTTGCATTACATTGACCAAGAGGGCTATGTTTTCGAGGTGGGGTTGGCCCCTTTAAAGGGTTTTTAGGACTGAATTTTACCAAATCACCATGGCAGATCTATATCTATATCAATCAATATATATACCTACAGGTATATGTAAGAGAGAGAAAACACGAGCCCCTTCTCTCTGTTGCATTACATTGACCAAGAGGGCTATGTTTTCGAGGTGGGGTTGGCCCCTTTAAACGGTTTTTAGGACTGAATTTTTTTGGACGGAATTATTTTGGACCCGGTAGCTCTTAGACGTGGAAGAAACACTGAATTGAAGAGGTACGAGTTGCCTTCTGGCAAGTTGTTTTGGAAGGGAATGAATGGGATCCTTAAGGAAGTGTTTTTTTTTTTTTTTTTTCAAACTAACGATGGATAAAAAAAGAATGGGTCTTTGCTAGAATACTTTATTCGTATTTTTCATAAAAGAAGGATGAATATTAGCACTTTTTACTGCAGGGTTTGTTTTTGCTTTGCGTTTTGAATGGGAAAGCTGGTCATGTGAAATCAGAACCTTATTTTTCCGTCAGTGGAGAGTGAGTAAATTAACTAAATTATTTACGATATCCGCAGTTAATTGAACTGAACGCTTTTTGAATTATTTTTTTATAATTTCATTTATAAAAAAATTAAAAGAGAAAATTAGTTGGAATTTATATATATATATAAATAAAAAGTATTTTTTAAAAAAAATTCTATCAGGATACAAAATAAGCAATAAATTTTCTCTGGAGAGCACGAAGCATCTCAATTTTTTCTATGGAGTTACATGTTTCCCAAAACAGTAATGATCTTTCCTTTGCTCAGCAAATACATTCTTGATCTCATAACTAAAGCCAACATGATAACTAAAGCCAGCATGATAGATGCTAACTAAATCAAGGGTTCGTTCTGGACGACGGACTTCACGATGACAAGAAATGGAATGAACTGAATTAGACAGCACAGTAAAATGAGATTGTACTGAATCTCACTGCCATAGACAAATACATGTGATTATTAACTAAATAAAGTTTCCGCATAAGTTATTGTAGTCCCTTAATTTTTCCAATAATTTATTTTAGTCCTTATTTGTTATTCTTATGATATTCTTGTCCCCATAGGAAATATTTCTGATGCTTTGATTTTATGGTGCCACGACTTAGTCTTCAAATCATTTTTTTTGCAATTAAACCCCTGCATGTAAAAGATTATTTTAATAAAATTTAGGTAAGCTTGATCAAACTTTAGCCACTCAGATTAAAAATTTAATGAATAATTGAGAAATAACTACTCTTATTTATACTATTGGATAAGTTCATCTCGCTCTATAGTAAAACAAGTTTTTTTATTTCAAGATAACTTTGGATAAAACAAGAATTCTAATATGTTTACCAAACACGCCATAACTAACCCATTCGTCTTGACATTGCATTTTCAGTTCATAAACTAGCTTGGTTCACGGCCAAGCAATTTCAAATTCGTTGGCCATCAGTGAAGTGTTATTTTTCAGTATATACCTTTATTTACACTTCGACCCTCTGTCACGGCGACTTCACCGTTTTATTTTGGACAGGTGATCATGCTACGACATGCGACACTTTTACGGTTCTACCTCTGCTTGTGTATCTTAGCCCCGGTCTCTTTTCGGTGAAGCTCATTCTTCCTTGATGATTGGAGTATCGAAAAGAGGTCATCGGTCGTGACTCTAACTTGAATTAGTTGGCTTCGATCTCCCCTTCACAAGCTCCGTCATATACAGTTCTACTGAACAAAGCTCTTGTGATTCATCACGAAAATCTAGACATCATATATTCTTGAATTTTATTATATTATATTGATTAATTATTATTAACATAAACTAAGATTTGTGGGGGAAAATATTGTAGCTCAAAAGAGAAATTACTGGTCATTGAAATAGTGGACTGAAAAGTTTGACCATTTTATCAGAAAAGACAAAACTGACTTTTCATGGGATTTATAAGTTATTATTGATTTAATTAGGGTCGCTTGGTTTTTTGTGCTTTTTTTGGCACATTGAATTTATTTAAATGCCCGTGAAGACAAAAATTTTGTTTATTTTTTTTTATTATTAATGTAAATGTTTGAAACAACTTATATATTTTAATTAATTTTATAAAATTTTAAATTAATAATTATATAAATTTTTATGATCATAAAATTTATATGATTTGAATTAGTGATTTTCTAGAAAATAAATCTAGAATTTATCAAGTTAAATTACAGTTTTTTTTAATTTTTTTCTTTTTATAAACACAGTATAATGATTATATAATCTTTGAATTTAAAAAATCTTAACCCCCTATTTAGTGACGTGTTGCTTCTTTTATCTTAGTTTTTTTTCATAGTTTCCATGTAGTTTGAAGGGTAAATTATTAAACTTGAATTTAAGATTTTATAAAATTTAAATTTTAAAAACTAACTTATATTTAAAAAATTTATCCAAGTTTACTTGATTTTTTTTATTGTTAGGGTTGTTTTTTATTTTTTTACATGGCATTGAATTAAATAATTTTATGAGATGCAAGCAGCTTAGTGATTAAAGCCTTAAAATTATTTTTTTATTTTTTTGAAAGCACATGTATTATCTTGAATTTTTTTACATTTAGTTAAAAAATTTATAACATATGGTGTAGCTCCAACCACTAATCTTTGGTTCACAATACTTGACCTTTCTAATTTGTTTTGTTGTAGATTTTGTAAGGTTAGCACATTCTCTTACCTTGAATAACAAGTTTTAGAAGTTAATCATGATTGATAAAAATTGATTTAATATATTATAATTTTAATATTTTAAAAAATAATAAATTATTTAATATATTAATATTTTAAAATGTTTTTATTTAGTATGCATTAAATTATTGACTTTCTAATATTTTTATATTTTTAAAAATTTTAAAAAAATATCTAACCAACAACATATACTGTTAAAAAAATAGTGCTAAAATGTGTCAGGTATCAAAACACACGTAGTATTTGAATAAATTATGCAATACAAACAATTTTAAGAGTAAAATCAAGTCATTATCTTAAATAGGGTTAGGTTTTCATTCAATTAGTTTTAGGATAGAACATGTGACGTCAACTCAGATTAGATGGGAATCATTAAATAAAAGTATTCAATTATACTTTTAAATATGTTTAGAAACTATTTGTGTTGGATAATTTAGTTATAGATTATCTATATATACTTGGAGCCCTTTACCCTCAATCTTATTTCCTAAGGTCGCACGAAGCTTTTGTATTTTGAATAGAATTTGGTTACTGTTTGGAAATAAAATATATATATATATATATATATATATAGTTAGTTAGTTAGTTAGTTGAACAGACATAAATAAAAGCATAGAAATAAAACTATTTCCAAAACAATTTTAGAGTAGATTTTTGTACATTTAAAATAAGAGACATAAAGAAACATGTTTTTATAAACAATATTCATTAGTTTTTTTTAAAAAAATATCTTTGTATAAAACTCTCAATTCTAAAATTATTAAATAATATTTATAATGATAAAAAATATTATTATTATAATTTTAAAAACCAATTTAAGGATTGATTTGGACAAAACTCAAGTTATTGGTGGAGATCTGAGTCACGGGTCAACTGGAGCAAGGCTCAATTCACTACTAGAGTGAATATTGACCCGGATCAATATAAAAATAAAAATGGTTGGTATTATAATTTTAAAATCTAACCTGAAGGTCGACCCAGAGTAAGACCCGAGTCAAGTGCTAAAAGAGTCAACTCAGGTCATGAATCAGAAGGGTCAACATAATATAAAAATGATTATTATTATAGTTTTAAAATATAATTGAATGTCAACCCAGGTCACGAAATGGAATGGTTAACCAGGGTTAATGTAATAATAAAAAATAATTATCATAATTCTAAAATCTGACTTGGAGATCAACCGAGGTAAGACTTAGGTAATGAGTTGGGAGAGTCAACATAGTTTGATCGGAGTCAGTATATGAATAAAAATAGTTATTATCAAAGTTTAAAAACCTGACTCAAGAGTTGACTCAAGGCAAGGTTCAAGACACGGGTCAAAAAAGTCAACCCAACCGGCCCAATTGTTTTTAGAAAAACAATAAAAACAATTTCATGTTGATCATTTTTTTATTGAAGAAGTCAAACTGATTTTTTGCTCATATTTTATCTCAGATTGATCTAGGTTTTTGACTAAGTTATATTAAGGCAATTCTTTCTTTATTTTTTTTTAAATCCTTACTAATTCAGACCTCGAGTCAATCTTGGTTTTATAACTAAAGTTATTATAATATTATAATTTCTAACATTCAATATAAATTAAAGTAACAAATAATAATATTTAATTATTTTTTAAAATACACAAGTTTCACAACAATACATATTAAGAGTAAAATAATTTTTTTATATTTTATTTTGTCTTATCCATCAAAACTAGATAAAATATAAAAATAATTATTTTATATTGTAATTCATTACCAACCATAATTCTATCTTTGTCTATTTTTCTATCTTGTATTTTTTATTTTTTTATTTCTATCCTTTTTTTATTCCAAAAAAATAACCAATCACTACTATCAATTTATACATAAATAAAGCCTCCCGTGTCAACTTGAAATCCCTCGAATTTTGTCATGTATCGATCAGTTTTTTCACTTGCTAATTCCCTCCGCTATTCATAACCGGAGCTCATTCGAAGCCGAGGTTCTTGTCTCCGATGGTCACACCATCTCCTAGCAATATTTAAGGACATTAAGATCTTCACTGATATTTATATTCACAACATAATCAAGTGTAACGGCAAGCAGACATTTCAACTTTAATCAGAATTTCATTTGTATCGATCTCTACGATCTAGTTTCCTATGCTAAATGACGTAAATGTTGTATGTAGA